AAGGCATTACTTTGATAGGTAGTCATAAATTATTTTCAAAATAATTATTTTCAGTATAATCATTCAAATATTTTTAGTTGATAAAAGCTAAGCACCCATCAGTGATAACACCATAAAACACATAACCTTTTCATGTTTTGTTCTATCCTGCTTCTTTTTCACATGTATTGATTGTATTTTTTCATATAGTAGATAATGGAATTGTTACTTCTGTGTTACAACTGCATATTATGTTTTTTAAATTATACTTTATAATTATCATTACAAATCATTCATAATTCATTCCCTTAATCACATCCCTAAGATTAGTTTCCATATCTTTATTATTATAAATGAAAACATTGAAAATCTTAATCATCAAGGATGCTCAAATTCTATATTACTTTGTATTCTAACAATTAATACTTTAGTAGATATAATTTTTAAATACACAATTGATTTGGGGGCTACAATTAAACATACGAAATTACTGAAACCACTACAACCAAGTAAGAACTATTTATATATTGAAAGGCAGCTTCTTATGAATAGAGATTAAAAATGAATAGTAGAAATATCAGATAGGCATAGCACTCCTTCAGCGTACCAGCAGAATCTCCAAAGATCAAACCATAGTGAGGTCTCAGTCAATACCCACAAATTTCGGTAATTCTCTTGATTGTGGTTTGTAAAAGTAGGTGAATGAGAAAAGGTGGCAATAATAAATACATTTAAAAATTGTTTTTATATCCAAGAAGAATACAACCCACATTTTGAAAAACAGTAATTAAAAACAGACTATGTTAATGGATAGTAATTTTTATTGTAGTACATTTATTTCTAAGTCATTATACTTTGTTGCTTTTACTCCTATTCACTCTTGTAAAACTTTTTCCATTTTTGACCAAAATATCAATTAAATATTAATTAAATAAGGCCCATCTTGACCAGCATTGATTTTGTTCTGACATGAACAGTCAGTCTCTATGCTAATTAAGGAAAGCAAATTATATTCTCTATTAATTGGTTATTACTTATTTCTGGCACATGCTTGCAAATCTCTATGTAAATGCATCTCAACCAACAATGACTATATTTTAACTTATTTGTTTAAATTATTGCAAACATATTAAATATCATACAAACATATATAGATGAGGCATATCCTTATTTACATTTGCATGAAGTTTTATTTCCACACCAGTTGGTGTTTACTCATTTACTAATACAGAAAGACTTACCTGATAGGTGATTTCCTTTGATCTAGATCTATGGCAGACACTATGCCTATGAATGATCCATTTGGGTTTCCTTCAAAAACTTGAAATACATAGTATGGGAAGAGAAAAACCGGAGGTTCATCAACATCTTCCACTTGCACCTTAATGAAAGTGCTGGAAGCTTCCACATGGTAGTTCCTGAGATCCTCCTCTACATGGCGGTTTCTAACTTTGGCTCTAATGCTATAATGGCTCTGCTGTTCAAAATCCACTTCCTACAAAGAAAGCAGTATGCACAGAACATACAAATGACCTTAGTAACTCAAAATGCTACAAAGAGGGTAATTGTCATTTACAAAGAGAGTAATTGTCATTTACTTTTTAGTTTGGTTTTACGCTCCATGTACATAGATTACTTTGATATCATCATTAAACACCCATAAAATATTGTATTTTATCACATACCTCTATCTTTCAAATGATGTGAGATCGCTAGATTTTCACATTTTATTAGTATATGTTTGCAGCACATAGTGAACATGTTCGTTGTTAATAGCTTGGCCATGTACATGACACATTTTAATTCTTTTTTACATCTCCTTTCCTTTCCCTTTCCCCCATCCCAATACCTCTTAGTCCCTTTCTGATTTTCAAAAGATCTCCTGGATTTCATCTAGGTTTAAAATTATACTTTTATGGGGCATAAATAGCTTATGGAATTGAGAATTAATTTTCACTTATTTAAGATCATTTTAAGAAAATGTTCTTTATTTTAAAATCTTTCTCTTTAACATTTCTTCATACAATTCAAGAAAATCTATTAAAAAAGAAAGCTTTTATCTCTAAACTCATTTTCTCCCTCAACATCAATCATGGATTCTCATTTCAATTACTTAATGGAGCAAAAAACCAACAAAGTACACAGAATAATTATGCATATTTCTGATTTAATTTTGCACTATTCTGCAAAGCAATTAATTTTCATATATTTACCTTTTTTAATGTAACTATTCCTTCCTGAGTTTCATTATCGGTAATGATGTCAAATGTTTGAGAATCATCATCTTCAATAAGGTAATCCATTTCTGCATTTTCTCCTATGTCATTATCATATGCTGTAATTTTTCCTATAGTTTTCCCAGCGGGTGCAGATTCAGAGACAGTTAGGCGATAAAAACCTTTAGAGAAATTATGAAAAAAAGAAAAAAAATGGAAACAAAGTCTATGTAAATAGGGAAAGGTGGAGGGGTGAAGGGCACACAGGTAATGGGGAAAAAATAAGAACTAAGATACATCATGTACAGGTATAAGCACCCAATGATAAATGTAAACATATTGTATGCCTAAAATGTACCAATAAAAGAATCTAAACAACAAAAAAAACTTTAGAGAAAAAAATCTCAAGTTATTTTGCATAAAAACAGAAATTTGTGAAATTTCCAAATACAGCATTCACTTTTTGTGATTTGTAGGAAAACCTGTACCTACACTGTAAGTTTCTTGTTCTAAATTTCAATATATCTCTTAGAGTGTGTCTTTATATATCTGTACAGTTTTTTTCATTTTTAAAAACAAGGAACATTTCCTTAATTTCCTGAGTATTTTTGCTTTTAAAAATATCTTAGGTAATCTTAAAATCAGAACATACAACCCCAAATTTTTATGCACACACTTTACCAAACATTCCTGATTTATTGTCATTATGCTGTATTTTGTACCATCCAGTATTAAATGTGATAGTTTTTCAATTTACATGAATATTCATTGATATCTGAAGTTGTTAATGAATTTAAGTGTAGATTAAAGGTGTGAAAGACTAAAGACATAGGTGAGTTTTAAGTTTAATAGTCTGAATTGAGGTTGTGTGCTTGAATCACATTACCCATAGTGGAAATATAAAGAAAAATGATGGAAGAGTGTTAGTTCATGGATGTAAGTGCTAAACAATGTTGGAGCTGAAGTGACACAAATGATTTGTTAATGAGAAAATGATGGTAAATTGTGGAGTTTCTTGCAACACCCAATGAGTCCATGTCTGCTGTGGTTGACTCAGGGTCTGAAGACTGTTAATTCCAAAGACCTGAAACATATTGAAGACAAGATGTTTTGTCAACTGGCAGAGAGATGAACCTCATGGGGAAAACAAGGAAGCTCCCTAGGAGACAAGCAGATAAAAGTTAATTATTCAGCTAAACTGTCACTATGCCTTGCTACTCAAAACAAACATCTGCACTCAGAACTCTATGCCTTTGCTCTTCCTCAATAAATCTGAAGGTTTGATTCAGTTCAGGACTGCACTCCATCCCAGTGGACGAAGATTTTCTGTGTCTTGCATCTTCATTTGTCTCTCTCCATCAGGGTTTGCTGGCCCAAACCCAGCAGAAAATATATTTAACATACATAGCTATAACCACAAGTTAATGAATTTTATTTTTTTCCAGAAGCAACATGTATAAAACAAATAAAGAATTCTGTCATTCTTGAATTATTATTTGCAATTTATGTTGAAAAATAAAAAATAATCATGCATGTCAATATTCTATAGAACGATACTACCTAGAATTAAAAATGACACATACAATGAAATTTTTTAAAGAGACTATTGGTTCCTTTAGAAACATACAACCTTCAAAATTACATTTTGAGAATGTAATTTTTTTAAAAATTATAGTAATATTATTCTTGTTAATATATTGTTGGGAGATTTTTGAGAGTGAAAGTATGAATTTAATTGTGGAGTAATTTTTCTCCATTGTGGAAAACAAAAATAATTTTTGTTTCTTTGTACAAATTAAAAATTGTCAATAATTTGGAGAAAACAATGGCATTTTCATAAACTTGAAAGCAAATGCCTTATATTTTAGTTTTATTGAGCTTATACTAAGCTTGCAGCTTTCAAAATTAGAAACAACCAAAACAGTTTCTTCAAACATCACTTAGTACGTGCAGATTTTCATATATTCAAAAATCACTTATCAACACAAATTATCTTTTTAAATGTATTTTAAAAGGCCAGGTGTGGTGGTGCATGCCTGCAATCAAAACATCTGGGAGGCTGAGACAGGAAGAGTGCCATAACTCCTAGGTCAGCTTAGTCTATATAGTGAGTTCAAGGCCAGCCTGAGCTATACAGCAAGACCTTGTTTCAAAAAAATCAAATAATAAAAAGAATGTATAGATATATATGTATATATATGTTAAGAATATATTTATTTTAAACAAATGAGCTAAATAACTACATATATATATAAAGATATATATGTATATATATGTAACAATTTTTTGTGAGATTCCCTTCTTCGGCCTCTCCCTATAACAAGAAAGTTACCTATTTCTGCTTACATCCTTGAGATAAAGCATACAATAAATAAGATACTGTTATGCACTAAGGAAACATTGTGCTTTGACGACTTAAAATTTTTATAATACAAAGTATTGATTGTGGAATTGTATTGTTGGATAGGAACTGAAGTAAAGAAATGAACATCTTAAATAAAATTTCAGGAAAATAAAAAGACAGAAATCAGATTGTTCTGGAAACAGGGTGGGGTCCATTTGCCTGGTATTGGCTTTTCAGAGAGCAAAAGATAGACAATCTGGGTATATTTCCAGAGATTGTGGCCAGGACTGAAAGATGGTAGATCACGTAGCAACATAAGGACCAATTAGTTTACACTACAATTTTGACTTTTTCTTGAGTGAGATGGGAAGACATAGACAAGATAGTTTTTGACTTTGCATTTTAACAGGATCAATAAGGCTGTACTGAAATAAATTAGAGTGATGGCATAAGCAGAGAGACTAGATGACTGCATATTGTATTATTAGAAACAAATTCAGGTGGTGGCGTGTTCCAAGTCAGCAGGAATGGAGGTAGTGAGACATATTCAGATATTTTTTAATACAGAACCAACAAGATTGTCAGAGGATTTAATGCTTGGTCTGAGAAAGAGAAAAGGAAAACAAGAAATAACTTTTGAGTCTCTAATAAAATTATTTTCTACTCTCATATGGGATGTGTGAATGCATGTTTGTGTGTGTGTGTGTATGTTTGTGTGTGTGTGTGTGTTTGCTTACAGAACACAAAAAATCAGAAATTATCAGGAATTGTGTAGAACTGATCAGGGTGAATAAGGAATTAGAATTGACCTGGAAATGGCTGGTAAGATTTGAATTATATTATTAAATCTTCTTATGAAGTGGTGATTATATTTAGCAAGACGCCAGCTTGAAAGAATGAAATGAATTTGTTAGTGATTCACATGGGAAAATCTATAAGAATAAGAGGTTTGGAGAAGGAAGATTATCTCAGAAGCTCAATAAAATACATTAAATATTAAATTTTAAATTTGTATGAAATGATAACGAAGATGATGAGTAGGAAGTTAGATGTTTATATATGGAGTTCATGACAAAAATTCAGAATGGAGCTATGTATTTGGAAGTTTTGATCACAGAGGTCTTTTTTAAAGCCATATGGGTGGGCGAGATCAAGGAATAGGTATAGCAGGAAGACCAATAAAGTCAAAGGCTTGATCCCATAAATACTCTAAAATTTTAAATATAGAGAGATGAATTGGAACTAGTAAATAAAGAAAAAATAACTAGCTAAACTAGAAGAAAAAGCAAATAAGAGAGTGACAGTGTTTCATGAAAGGAGTATTTGACTCTGTCAAATCAAGTCAAGAAGCAAAACTATAACTAAAATTGACTTTAGTTTTGGTTAGTATACATTATTGATGTAAATAAAATCTGCTTGGTCGAATGGTTTGGATGAAACCCAAATGGACTGGATTCCAGTTTAAGGAAAGTAACAGAACAAAGTGTTCATAACACTCTTAAGAAATTTTCTCTAATCACTTCTCGGCCTTTTGGCCAAGATCAAGTGAAGAAATTTTCTCTAAGAGAAAGACCAAGGAGGGGGGACAGTGTTATTAGCTAAAAATGGAAGAGATATCAAGGCATTGTTTTTGTTTGCATTTCTTTTAAACATGAGAGGAAAATAATCACAAACATTTGGGTGCTAATAGCAATGATCCAGCAGGAATAAAATTGTCAACATAAAGGAGAGGAATATTTGAGTGATGTTCCAGATGGGGGGATGAGAAATGTTGTCCACAAGTGTGGGTGTACATAAAGGACATTTCAACTGAGATAGGAAAAACAAGGTTTCAACGGAGGAAACTGATGGAAACATGAGTAAAAAATCAGATGTCTGCTTCACCCATACTCAAATCTGTCTGACAACAGTGATGTCATAATTTTACATGTGGATTCTGAATAAATAAGGGAATTTTAAAATATATTTTAAGTATTCTAATTTTCTGATAATAGTTTTGAAATAAAGAATTGTAAAAATTAATAAAGATACTAGATGCTTCAAGTTTCCATTGAGTTCTGCCTTTCAGAGACTTAAATTTGCTCGTTCACCATCATCTTCTTGAACTTGGGCTAAACTTGTTCAGTGTATCCAGTGTTCAGTGTATACTTTTTATGTATTATATGTCAATTATTTTATAATGTCCTTCTCTTCCAGCTTTAGACTTCTTTTTCTCCTTTAGAAGTCATATTTTTTAGGAAGAAGAGACAGCAATATTCCTCACACATTTCACCACGTCACGGAAGTTGCAAGCTCTTGCCCTTTGCCAGTATCTCATTCAAAGAGAATCAGCATGGTTGTTTTTTTTTTTTGGGGGGGGGCTCATATCAATGTCAAACTTTTAAACTAAAATTTTGAAAACTGAGTGATACAGTAGAAGCAAATATCTAGATTAGTAACACAGCCATGTGTTGTTTAACAATGGGGCTGTTTTGAGAAGTGTATCCTGGGATGCTTTTGTTGGTATGCAAACATCACAGAATATCCTTACATACTTAGGCTTTATAGCCAACTACATACCTGGGCTATGTAGGAAACCCTGTTGGTTCTAAACTACAAATCTATACAACACTTTACTGTGTTGAACACATTAGGCAACTGTAACACAATGGTATCCATGTATCTAAACATAGAAAGATACACTAAAAATACGAATGGATAGAAAAATTTCAGGTTCATTATAATCTGAAAGGACCTCTGTTATAGATGTTATTCACTGTTGACAAAAACAGCATATATGATGCATAATTTTTTTTCTTGAGTAACCAGGAGATTAGACAATCCTAGCTTGGAAAGAACTGACTAACCCGAGAACAACAGTGTCTACATTATTTAGATGCATGTGTCTATGTGGGTGTCTACACAGTGACAGTCATTCTCAAGTATACCCACTTGGTGAATGGCAAACCCAGAATTTGAAAACAAATTTGCATGATGTCAACTTCCTTTGATTATACATCTACTTTTCTACTAGAAGCAAATCAGTGAAAATACAACTTCACTTGAGCTGTCAAACTGCCTATGATTTCACTTGACTTTGAGGAATGGCCAAGGCAATGGAGAAAGAACGAGAAGGAAAAGCAATCAAAAGAGAGTTTTATTTCCGTATATCGACAATCAACACCTAGAAGATCATGGTATGGCCGAAAATATATGTATATAAACACATAAACATATATGTATATACATATTTATATGCATATATTATTTTTATCTGCTACTTTCTTTCCTACAGGTTTGTCAAAATTCTTTACAAAGATAGTTGTTCGTGCTTTTGACAAATGGCTGTAAATGTATTTCTGTAGCTAAGAATCTCCCCAAAAAAGACATTTTGTTGAAAAGAAATTTCATGTGATTTAAATTGTGTTCATACAGAAATGATCAGAGAAAGTGTGCCCTATTCTTGCTACAACAATGAAAAATAGAAAATAGTTATTTTAAATAATTGCATATGGTATGCAGAATGATCCCACAAGTAAATCCATGTCCTAACCCTTGATACCATAATATGTTATCTAAATTGACAAAAAGAAATAAAACTTGTGGAGGGAATTCAACTTATTGTGACTTTGAATAGAGAGATCATCCTGGTTAATCCAAGCAGACGAAATCTAAACATAGGAATCCTTAGAATTGGAAGAAACTAAAGCATCTGTCAAAGAGATGTCAGTGTAAGAAATGTTTAATACCTCTAATTGCTTCTGAGGAGGGTGGGCTATGCCCAGAACTGGAGGCAAGCCTCTAAGAATTAGTGTTCCCCAACTAACAGCCATTAAGGAAACAAAGACTGCAGTCCTACAAATATGAAGAACTGAATTTTGCCAACAGTCAAATGAGCAAGGAAATGAATTCTCCCCTCCAGTTTCCAAAAATAGCATTACCCTTCCAGACACCATGACCGCATTTTGGATAGGCCCACACTGAGCTTTTTAAATACAGTTAGTTTGTTGTAAGTCATGGAATGTGTGGCAAGTTGTTAAACAGCAATAGAACACTGATACATTATCCATTTATTTGTATGTGACTTTCATAGTTTAATTATACCTTGGAACAGTTATAAGATTTAATTTATGCAAATCTCGCATTGGCACAGTGCTTTTAGAATGCAAACTCTAACATCTGTCTTTATTCAGCATCCTTATGTATACATTATGATGAAAATTCACAGTTTTCTACTTACTGTCTTTAAATATAGGCTTATTGTCATTAATGTCTGAAAGTTTAATTAATACACTTGCTGTTCCAGACAGTGCTCCATGCTGTCCAATCATGTCCTTGGCTTGAATAATTATCCAGTACTCATCTTGTAGCTCTCTATCCATTTTAGAAGATACTCTTATGATTCCTTTAAAATAAAATAAAATTCTAATTATTGTTTTTATTATTAACCATATCATCTTCCTCACTAATTTTTTTTTTTGGTGCCAGGGATCGAACTCGGGTCCTTGCACTTGCATAGCAGGAGTTGAAACCACTGAGCTAAATCCCTGGCTTCCTCACTAATTTTTAAGAATTCCACTATACAATCATTCTCTTATTGTATGTTGAACCACTACACAGTGATGAACTCTGGCCTGGAGAACAATAACAATAATAAATTCAACAGCAACTCTGTCCAGAGTCTAGACTTCTCAACATAATACTAAGAACACTGGTAGAACCTTCCTAAAATATCATATAAACTGGCATTCAGCTAGTCCAATATTTTCAACTCCTTCCTATTTTAGGAATTTCTGCTACATTTCCCCCCAGAAGCTGGAATGTCATTCCACTCTCTCTTCCCTTTGACTGTAGGATCAGTATAGCATTCTGGTTTCACTGTGCTTGCCTTGAACCACAACATAAGTTGCCCTCACTTTCCTTTTCTCATTGTGTCTTTTTTGTTACACCTTAAATGTATCCATTTACTAGTAGTCATGTGTTTACTATCTATAAATTCCAACAGTGAAAGGTTCATGCTTATGTTTGGTTTTCTTAGCTGTTATTATTTTAAATATTGCAATATTATATCTCTAAATATCTAGTATATTTTTTTAACTGGTACATATCCTTTCTCAAACAGGACTGTGTGAAAAATTTAAAGCCCAATATATTTGGGTTTTATTTTTACTTACTGATGTGGATTGAACCCAGGACATTCGCACTGAGCTACTAAGTCACTAACTACCGCAGGATGGGCTCCAATTTCTGATCTTCCTGCATCAACCTCCCATAGGACTGGAATTAGAGGCATGTCCCACTGCTCCTGGCTAAGCCTTAGTATTTTAAAACATTCACTGCATGTAATGAAATGATGTCTTTCCTGTGCATTACAAATGATAAAATGTATGTATCATCCTTGGAATAATTTAGAACATAGGCACTCATCACATTCATTAAAATATGACTGTCAAGAACTCTTAATTGAGAAAGGCTGAGGCTTTTAATATTTACTGAGTAAATGAATAAATTAGAAATATTTAAAGATTCAATGAAACGCTTTAGGAACTTAAACCTCTTATATCACAAATTAAAAGTATTTCTTCCCAATGACAACCATAGAAATTGTACTTCTTGTATTTCTTACATATTTAGTAATTAGTTATGACATTCTTTCATCTTTAAATACCATCAGCTCCTAAGTGGTTGACTCATTCAAGGTTAATCTTGATTTTGTACACAACAAATAGTATTTATTAAATAAATTATTGTTCTGTAAATTGTATGTGTTCAATATATATTTTTGATAGATAAATTGTATTATATTTTATATTTATGTTTTTATTTATATTTTATTTATTTTATATATTTTATGTTTATATTTATAGATTTGTATAAATATATTTATAGATTTTATATATTTAATATTTTTATTTATATTTTATATTTATATCCTCTTTTTTACAATTGTTTGTAAATGTCTGTTTTCATATTTTTCAGTTGGGCTGTATCTTTTCTAACTGATTTATAAGAATCCTTACATATGTTTTAGAACACATACATAAATCATATGAGAATTACAATGGAAAATTCAATCTTCTAATCTTAGAAAAGAAGCTTTAATTCTAAGGCTAATTGAATGCTTAAGAATTAATACCCATTCATTTATCTAATATTTAGGTCTAATGTATAACATGTTTCTAAGTAATTTTTGCTGATTTTAGCCTGCTGTAAAATGAGGTTAAATTGCATTTTGTCTTATTCACAAATACCTGTTGTTGGTTCAACAGAAAAATATGCTTGCCCTTGTAGTAAGCTGTAGAGGAGACGAGCATTATTGCCACTGGCAGGGTCATCTGCATCACTTGCTGTCACCTGGATGACAAACGTACCTGAAGAGAAAAGATGTATTAACAGAAAATTAGGACTTTCACTTGGTTCAATAATAAATCCAGTTTTTTAAAGCACTCTTTATTTAGTCAGTAGGATGATGTAAAACAAAATCTCACTTTACTTCCTGTTCCTAAAATACAAGAATAATGTTTTTATGAAAAACAAATTACTCCTGTACAAAACTAGACTTAACTACCATACACAATTAGAATATTTAGAAATTTAATTCATTTTTATATATGTACTTGCTCTGAAGATTAACAAAAGAAGGCAAATCTAGCAGATATAAATAAAGTATTGCCATTAAAAGTAATAAACAAGGAAATCAAGTGGAACAACTATAAGTACATTTAATACAAATGTTCAATATTGTAAGATAGCATCGAAAATGTAGAGCTTTTAAAATTACATTTCTATAAATATGAAATCCAGGATTATTAATTTTCTTGGAAACTCACATTTGTTGAAAACCGTAGTATATAATGGGAAAAAAAGTGGTACGAATGAAAAAAATAATCAAATAGCCGCTAGTGTTCTTCACAATCAGCATCATAAATTTATAATAGTTTATCTATAATCTGGCTTTATAAACAGACACTATATTAAGAAATCTCTTCTCTACTTCATTTATTCTTGAAACTTTTACCCTAATCTTCAATAGTATATATTTGTTGCTACTTTAATTCACTATTTTGCTCATTAATTATAACCAGCATAAAAATTTAACATTAATATTTGTTTTATTATCATACAGTATATGTTACCACTAATTTAACAATATAATTTTAATATGTAATGCTGTCACCTGACTCAGAAAACAAGAATAAAGTACAGGAAAAAACCGTACCCTTTTGAATACTTAATTACCTCAAATATTCAACAAATAGATACATTAATTTCATGTGGTTTAGCAATACTTAGATGCAGTAGCAAAATATTTTCAAATAAAATAGTTGATAAGGACAATTAATTAAATCAACTCATTTGGACAGACTTATTCTTTTTACTTTTTAATTTTTGTATTACTAATGTTTGCAGTTCATGATGTTTTCATTCCTTGCGGGGAATTAATACATGTGCATAATACATCAAAATTCTCTTTTTCCATCCCCTTTCCCTGCCCCTCCTCCTTCCTCCATGCACCACTTAAGCTCCTTCTTTTTAAAATTTTGTTCTTTTAACTACCCTTCAGTGCATTCAACCATTTTCTTCTCCATTTCCACATTATGTTTCTGTCTATTTTTTTTTTTTTTTTTTAGCATAAGAGTTTCCCATCCTGGTGTCCATGACTATGTTACCTAACTTTTTCTTCAGGAACTCTGATCAAAATCATGGTATTGCTAAGCACTGACTAAAAGAAATCTTTGACTTTAGAGTTCTAAACTTAAGATTATATGAATAATAATCAGGATGAAGGAGAAATGCAAGGACTCTCACCAATCACCCCACACCTTGTTCACAGAAAATTGAGTTAGGGAGTTAGATTCTTTTTACTAGTTAATTTTTAAAGGTACACTTTAATTTGATGCTTCATTTACTTCTAACCAAAATTTACCTCTTCGGTGTCTTAAGCTACTATTCTCTTAACTCTACTGCATAGATATCATTTCATAGTCTGTTTATATGTTATAAAATAATATCTCTGATTGTGTGGAAATTTTTTAAAAAGTTAAACTCTTAGAAATATAATGTATATAAATTGTGGTATATTACATAAGGAGACTACCTCTCTCATATGAACTTAGATTTCTAGAGAAATACTTATCAGTCTCTGGGAACTGTGATATGTATAAAATACCAAACCTATAGAAATGAGATAAATCTACATTGTATCAGTGGTGATCAATGCTTGGTAGGAACTACTAATGGCTATACAATGATTTACTATTTTTATAAGGTTACCATGCAAAAATATGCAGCAGTATTTAAAAAAAAATAGTGAACTATTTTCCTTCTAATTATTACTCTTATTTTGAAAATTTTGGCTGTAATTTGAGAAGGATATTTACAATGCTCAATTTTAACATTATTCTATTATCTTTGTCATATTTTAGTTGATTCCTACTTCCTTTTTTCCTGTTCATTTATTTGTGGTATTCAAATTCATAGAATAAACAATTGTAAATGCTCTCAGATATTTAAATTTTTAACAGAATAAAGATATGCGATCCTGAATATTTTCCTGATCAATAATTTACATTCTGGAGAAATATTCAAGAAAGAGTTGAGTGTGATAAAAGAACAACAATAATGAATAAATATCAAAGCAATCCAGAAACACAAAACATTTGATAGATTGTATATGTCTCTGTTTTCCATGAAGACGGTAAGAGAATCAATATGCAGATCCACTTATAATTGGGAATCAATTGAGTAGTTGGCACAAAATTGACAAAATTGATATGAGATGAATAGTGTGTCTTTCAATAGAAATTATCAATTGTCTCATAGAGTCCCCTTTCTCATATTATCAATTAAATATAGGTCAACTTACTTGCTGGTTGACACATAAATAATTAATTTCTACTCTAATTTAATAAGAATATATGTAATACCTTTTTGTCAGTAATATCAGAGACACAAAATGATTGAGCTATTATAAATATCACAAAAAAGCTCTTCTCAAGTACAGCAGGCTTTCTCAGATTCTGTAAGCACTTCTTTTTGTGTTAGGATCACTGTTTTATGCTAGAACCACTCTCAAAATGTACATAAGAAATGTGGTTCCCATCTCTTGGTCATTGGATTCCCTACCAGCATCTTGATAATTGCTATGAATTGTGGTAATTCTTTAAAATATTACTGGAACTATTCTAGTCAAGAAATGACCCATTTCTGCCAGTTATGGAAATGTTTAAAACATTTTATTTTTATAGAAAAAAGTATTTGTGAATTTTAAATCACAAGAAAATAGTTTGAATTATAAGATATATATAAGACATTTGAAGGAACAGAACATATCTATTTTTCAATGAAAATATACATTTGTATTTTATATGTTTATGCACAATTTGTGATATCTCCATGAAACTGGTGGGCTGTTAAATATCTGCTAAAAGTTCATGCATTGAAAAGTTGGGCCAGGCTGATGGTGTTTTGGGGAATCACAGAAATTCTAGCAGGTGGAACATGATTGGAGGAAGCAGGTCTTTGTGGGTGTGCCTTTGAAGAGTGAATTTTCCCATCACTCACTTTCTTTCCTCTTGTCACTTATGAAGTGAGCTACTGTGATCTACACATACTCTGCGCTGGGAAGTTCTGCTTCACCATGGGACCAAAGCACAGATGCCAAATGATCATTAGTTGTAACCTCAGATACCATAAGCCAAAATAAACATTTCTTCCTTTGTCTTTCTCAAGTATTTTGTTACAATAGTGGAAACAACAGTTTATCATATATAGTATAGATGCCTATGTCACACATGCATATGTATCTATATAACCTAAATAAATAATCTATGTAATTGTGAAAGGGACTCTAATATAGATTCTAAAAATTGTGCAACTATAATTCCACATAACTTAAGCAAAAATTGAATTGGGCAATTTAAAGTTTTACTGGAATATGGCTCAAATGAGTTCATAACATAAATGAAAGGTTGTTTTAATATTATTATAACATTATAAAATATCTTGATGTTATGACAGCATAATATATTTTGGGCATTAACAAAATAAAAAGTAAAATATAAAAAAATAGATTAGACATAAAAACCATACATAAAATATTCATGTTTTATTTGCAATAAAAACAGAATATTTGATATAAAAGGTGAATTTCTATATCTGATAGCAGACTTTTAAAAAATTTTTTACAGCAATCACATTTAATTGGGAATTTAAAACTTTCTCACTGAAATAAAAAACTATTTTTTATCATAGGAAAATATTTACTGAACTTCTTAGTACAATGAAATAATATATTTGTATAAAGAAATATATTGTGGTGGCAGATGCCTGTAATCCCAGCACTTGGGAGGCTGAGGTAGGAGGATCCTCATGAGTTCAGGGCTAACCTGGGCTACACAACTGAGTTCAAAGACACGCTGGTTGCCGGGGATTTAGCTCAGTGGTTCTGGCACCTGCCTCGCAAGCACAGGGTCCCGAGTTCAATCCCTGGTACCAACAAAAAAAACAACAACAACAACAAAAAACGCTGGGCTACATACTGAGATGCTGTCTCAAACCAATACATCAACAACAAGAAAGGATATGTAAATAAAGAAAATAAATAAAACTGTATTAACTAGAATAATTTAAAAGAAAGTGTAATCTGCTAATAAATTAGTTTCCAGAAAACCATTATATTATTAAATCTACACAGGTCCACAAAAATAAATAGCCCACACTGGATATATGCACATTGAATTGCCTCATCATTCACTCCTACATTATACTGTAGAATTGTTCTGTAATCAGAATTGTGTATTTGGTGGTAACTCTTTAAAATTTTGGTTTAGTTCATTGAAATCAAATCAGTAAGGAATTGAAGACAGATAGTGAGAAAATCCTTCTCTTGGTGACCTAAACCCCAAAAGTCACCAGGCATCTCTGACAGGGGTCACTATGGCTTGTTTAGAGTCCCTGAACTGGTAGGAAATTCAAAGAGCCAAAACAACTGGACTCTTAAACCTAAGTATCCTCTTACACCAGTGTCTATTAACAAATGCTGAATAGGAAAAAAAGTTTTCTCAGTTACTGTCTTAAGAGTAACTTACCAATCAATAAACTTTTTCTTAAAATGAAAATAAAAAGAGAATGAATCCAATAAGTCTGAATTCTATTTTTATATCTGTATTTAACATCCTTGACCTGTATCACTATTGAGAGCCTTTTAAATAAATATAAGTTTAAATTACTGGCTATGTGTTTTGTAGCTAGTTCCTAAATCTTTACATTTATCTATTACTAAAAGTTCTTGTGAAATTGTTTAATGTGACATTTGTTTTTGATCATTTAATCATTTACAGTGGAGAAACTTATGAAGGAAACACAGGATATAAATATGTGCCAAGTACTTCAGGAAAAAGTCATAGTGTTCTTTGGAAACTGTTTTGTTGATATTTTCTTTAATTTGTTACGACATACTCAGAAAATTCCAAAGAGCCAATTGTATGTTAATAAGAGGTAAAATACTTATTGTGTATGTGAAATTACATATAAGTTAGATTGTTATGATAATATGGAATGTAATATAAAATGTTGTAAATGTTTGTATAAAGATACATAAAATATTTGATGATTGAAAGTATTAATAATATTTTTCAGACTTATTCTGTCTTCACTGAGTAAAACCTGATGTGAGAAATGTGTAAAGCTGTCACAGAATGGTGAGTAATTTAAATTTTATTATCATCTAGTAGTTCTACTAAATACTGAATGTTTTTCATTTAAATGTTAAGTTTAACATTAGTAATAAACTTGATGGTGTGATGCTGTCTCATCATCTCACAGAGAATGCTTTATCCTCCAGCTATTATGGAAGCCATGCAAACAAAAAGCATAAAAGAGTTATAAATTTGTATGTGCAAACTAATTTAGATATCATGTAGGCAATGAGAAACTCAGCAACCTGTGGCAAGGGCATTTCATAATTAAAGCTTACATTTATTACAGAACACTAAAGTATACATATGTGTCATAGTTTATCTTAGTGTTTCTGTGCAGAGATTCAAACTATAGATTTCAAAATGACTCATTTATTTAGTATGTAATATTTTCTTGGCTTTAAATTCTGTAGTATGAAACTTAACAAGCTTTTCTTAGCACAAAGATATAAATTGTCTAATAGGAAAACTGTTTTAAAAGTTTTAGTACAAGTGCATTTCAATTTAACTGAAATAAATTTCTTGAGATGCAGATTTGTATAATGATCTCTTTTAACGCAATGTAGGTTAAGTACTGTTGTTTTTTACCTACAGTCTAATTCTGTAATTTTGGTAACAATGGAACAGATAAAAGGTGAGTTAGATGATCCAGTGATCAAATTGAATTTCATCATCCCCGCTGTTTATTCATTCACATAGAGATCTGATTTTATTAGTATGAAGATTTTTATTTATTTATAAGTCCTGATGGTCTCATCATTTTTGCATTTATTTTTCAGATACAATTAGTTTATCACCTAGAATCTTGAGTGGAACTCTAAAAATAGATGCTATTTCTCTACTTGTCACCTTAAAAACAATGAAAAGTATTCTTCATTATATTTCTTTTTCTGACAATATCCACTTGAAAACTAGGCCACAGGTATTTTGTTTTATATTTTTATCACCTGTGCTTTTCAGAACTTGATATAGTAGAAGTTAAGTCAAACAAATTAATCTGTTTTTAAGAAAGCAAACAGTATGTTCAGAAGGGATAAGAAGAGTAATTTGTCACAGTCTTGTTTTTACCTCATGTGTCCAAAGGCATTAAATTTTTAAAATCTAATTTTTGAATCTGATGAATTTCAATACATAAAGATTTTTCTTTTTCTAAGAAATGGTTGAATTTATTTAAATTTGTATATTTTACATTAGATTGAATTTAATCTGTTTTTATATCACTGCATTATGATGTACCATATTGATGATAGATTAAAGTGAATTCCCTATGTGACTTCTTAAAAACAATACAAAAGTGATATAAAATATTTCTTGATAATTATGCAGTTCAGTGTAACTGACCTCATTTGCATTTTAAATCTGAAATGCCATGTTTGTCTTTATTTATAACTAATAAGGTATCTAAAGTTTTACCTACAAGTCATTCCATTTTCAAAAACATCCTGATTTCTATACTAAATCAAATGATCAACATAAATATTGGAAACTTTCTAATGTTGAAAGGGATGTGATAGGTGCCTGCTGCTATAAAAATTTGTTGGATTATACTTAATTGGTAAACCTGAAAAGAGTGGGGATAGAAAATATAATTACTAGGCAGAGAAGCTGAGCTGGTCCAGGCACCTGGAAGGAAGCTCCCCCACCACCATCACACGCTCCTAGGGCACAGAAGGTGAGCCAGTCCCAGCACGTGGAAGGAAGCCCCCCACGTTGCCATCCCATGCTCCTAGGGCAGAGAAGGTGAGCTGTGCAGGCACCAGAAGCAACCCCCCTTCCCGTGGAAATGAGAAGACATGTAAAGAAGCCTCAAAAACAGACTTCCGGACCACATACAGCAACCCCAAGGGGAAACAGGGTGGAAAAATCTGATACTAAACAACCTGAACTCTCTTAACTGGCAACAAAAGAGGATCTGGGAAAAATGAAATCAGAAATAATTACTCAGATAACAGCAAAGATTGTGCTTATGGTGCAAGACATG